ACTGTTCCCATCACCCCAATTCCCCAATAAAAATCTTTAAAAAAAACTGCATGGACTGACTCTTTCACGTTTATCTCGAACTCAGATTGCCTTCCAACCTGTCTTATTTGCCAAGAAAAATTAGTGCACAACAAAAAGTCAAATTTGGAGAGGCACTTCATGACAAAACATGCCACATTTGCCAGGAAGAATCCTGTTGGTGACATGAGAAAGAGAGCAGTTGAAGAACTTCAGAAAAATGTTGAAAAATTAAGTTCTGTATTTAATTATTGGAGACAGTCTGCCAATAATGTTAAGATTGCAAACTTCGTAGCAAGTCAGGAGATTGCTAAGAGAGGAAAACCATTCACAGATGGTGAATGCATAAAATGTTGTTTTGTTAATGCATCTGAAGAACTTTTTCGGGATTTCAAAAACAAAGCAGAAATTTTAAATAAAAATAAAAACATACCGTTATTTGCCAAAACAGTAGCAGGTAGGACAGTTAAAACGTCCTCAAATGTGACCAACAAGTCTATAACATTAAATTAGCTTCAGCGTTATCAATTCTGGTAGATGAGTCACGCGACATCAAGGACACAGCCCAACTTTGCCTTTATGTGCGGTATATAGCATCTGCGGGTCCGAGAGAACTTCTGGGATTGTTGCGTGGAGAGGACATAGCAAATGCTATCCTTGAATGCCTGAAAAAAAATCATATCCCACTCAATAAAATTGTTTCAATTGCAACAGATGGTGCAAAAAGTATGACGGGTGCGAGAAAGGATTTTGTTTCAATTTTAAAAGGAAAAATTAATCATGAAGTGATTACTTTCCATTGTATACTCCACCAGGAAGCACTTTGTGCACAAACATTTCCAGAAGAAATTGGTAAAATCATGGGATTGGTAATTAAGCTTACCAACACCATTATAGCAAGGGGACTTAACCATCGACAATTTAAAGAGTAGCTAAGTGAAATGGAGAGCGAGTATTCAGACCTTCTCTAGTACAACAGGGTTCGATGGCTTTCCAGAAGCGACATGTTGCATAAATGAAATTTTGCATAAATGAAATCAAACTATTTCTTGACAACAAGGGTGTTCAATATCCAGAATTAACAGAAGATCGGTGGTTGCAAAAATTGTACTTTATGGTGGATGTTACATCACAACTGAATCAACTCAATCGTAAATTACAAGGCAAGGGAAATATTGCTTTTTCAATGCTAGAAGAAGTTATTTTGTTTGAAAAAAATTGATTCTATTCACTAAAGATTTAGAGAGTGGAACTTTAGTTCATTTCCCAAACTTGTCTCATTATTGCCGAGAAAACAATGCCCTCATTAACAAAGATTATTTCAAGACAGCAGTTTCAAACATGAGAGAATCATTTCTTCAAAGATTTCAGGAATTCAGAAATGATAAAGCGACTCTAGCTTTTATTACAAATCCTCTTAATGCCAATATGAAGGAATTAAATTTTGCTCCGTTTAATACTGATTTGGCTAAATTTGAAATACAGTTAGTGGACTTGACAAGCAAAGACTTATGGAGCTCCAAATTGGTACGTCTTGGTACTGAAATAGAAGAAATGGAAAGAGAAAAATGCAGTCTGATTTCACAGCACAAGCAGACTGCCATAAAAGACCTACAGAAGGCAGACTCAATGATTTTCAATACTTGGAATAGTCTTCTGGACTCATATTATGAGTTGAAAAAAATTGGTGTTCTCAGTATCTTCGGGTCTACATATTTATGTCAGCAATCGATTTTGTTTTCTAACATGAATTCCATTAAATGTAAATTGAGGAGCCAAATTACTGATGCCAACTTGGAATCATGACTTTTGGGTTGTCGGAAAAGTCATGATGTAGTTTTTCTGTTTTTCGTTGCAAAAATGCGTCATGACTTTTCCGACAACCCAATACATTAAAAATGACTAGTTACAAACGAGATACAGAAACTTTCTCAGGAAATGCAAGCTCACACTGATTAAAACCAATCAGAGCATTTTTGTGTGTGAATTTTTCTTATTTTAATAAAGATATAATTAATACTATTACTTGTTATAATATACTTTAAATTTTCCTTATTTGTAAAAACATATTTATGGCTCTCAAATAATTTTTAAATTGTTTTGAGAGACAGGATTGGCTCTTCCGTCTCAAAAGTTTGCCGAACCCTGAGCTATCCTGTCTTTTGATTGGAGCATTTAATCCATTTACATTTAAAGTGATTATTGATAGATACATAGTTATTGCTATTTTGTATTCATATTTATGTTCTTTTCCCCCTCTTCTTCTTAATTAAGTCCCTTATCATTTCTTGAAATACTGGTTTTGTGATGATAAACTCTTTCAGCTTTTTCTTGTCTTAGGAAGCTCTTCGTCTCTCCTTCAATTCTAAATGATACCCTTGCTTGATAGAGTGGTTTTAATTGTAGGTCCTTATTTTGATCACTTTGAATATTTCACCCAATCACTTCTTTCCTGCAAAGTTTCTGTTGAGAAATCAACTGACAATTTAAGGGAGCTCCCTTGTAAGTAACTAGTTGTCTTTCTCTTGCTGCATTAAGAGTCTCTCTTTGCTTTAACCTTGTTGTGGGCCTGTTTAGGTTCATTTTGTTTGGGACTCTGTACTTCCTGGGTTTGTATGTCTGTTTTCTTCTCCAGGTTAGGAAAGTTTTCAGTCATTATTTCTTCAAATAGTTTTGCAATTCCTTCCTTTCTGTCTTCTTCTGGTGCACCTATGAGGCAAATGTTATGCTTGATGATGTCCCAGAGCTATCGTAAATTATCCTCATTTTTAAAATTCCATTTTAAATTCCATTTTTGCTATTCAGATTGGGTGTTTTCTGCTACCTTGTCTTCTAAATCACTAATTTGTCCTCTGTTTCATCTAGTCTGCTGCTGATTCATTCTACTTCATTCATCATTTTAATTATTGTATTCTTTACTTCTGACTGGTTGTATCTTATAGTTTATATGTCCCTTTTTATGCTTTCTATCTCTGTGTTGAAGTTCCCACTAAGTTCCCTGAGCATCCTTATAACCAGTGTTTTGAACTCTGTATCTGGTAAGTTGCTTGCCTCCATTTCATTACTTCTTTTCTGGCGTTTTCTCCTGTTCTTTCTTTTGGGATGTATTCTTTGTTTCCCCATTTTGAATGCTTTTCTGTGTTTGTTTCTATGTATTAGTTAGATCTGCTACATCTACCAGTCGTGGCCGGGTGGCCTTATATAGTAGGTGCCCTATGGGACCCAGTGGCACATTCTTCTTGGTCATCTATGCCAGGTGATCCAGGAGGGTCCCTTGTGTGGGTTATATGTGCTGTCCTATTATAGTTGAGCCTTGATTGCTGTTGGCACATCAGTGGGTGGGACTGACCCCCAGGCTGACTGGTTGTGGGATTTGGCCACGTCCACAACTTATGGACTGCTGTTCGGGTGGCTTACCCCACAGAGCGGGCTTCACCCCAGTGGGCTCTGGTGCCTGCTGAGACTGCCCTTTGAGTGTGCTGCTTGTGGGGTAATTGTGTGGTGTTCAGCTGCGGTCTGAACCTGACCTACAGGTATCTTGGTTCTGGGGCCTCTTGGGAGGTGCTCTGGTGCAGGCCCAGGTCAGTCACTTCCTGTGCCTAGCCAGGGATTATGTGGTAGGAGCTACAAAGTGATCTATCATATGTCACTGCCTGTGCTGGACCTGGAGGCACATGGAAGAGGCTGTGCTATGAACCAATGATGGCTACCACCAGTACTGAGTCCTGGGTAGCTCCACAAAAAGCCAGGACACCCCAAAGCCTGCTGCCACATGCTAGCTCTTGTAAGGCTCAGCTGCTGATAGAGTAGTACATGAGTTTGATGAGGCGGGGTCTCTGGGATTCACCAGGGTGAGATGAGTGTTCACCAGGTTAATGTAGATTCTATTGGGTTGTCGGAAAAGTCATAATGCATTTTTGCAATGAAAAACATAGAAAAAATACGTCATGACTTTTCCGACAACCCAATAGTTTGGTGCCTGTGCTGATCCCGGAGCTACTCAGCAAATGTCTTAGGCCTACTACTACCCACCTGGGACCCACAGATTCCCAAATGTTGTCCAAGAAAGAGTGTGATACAAGTGGGGCTGGCTGCTTGCCGATAAAATGTCTCAGGCATTGAGTGAGCTGGATGGGGCAAGTTCCCAGGGAGTCACCAGGGTGGTGAGTGGGTGGAACTAATAGATCTCACTAGGCCAATGGAGATTCATATTTGACCCTGTGGGGGAAGGCTCAACACAGAAAAGATGGTGCCTGCCTGCTCGCTGCACAGGAGGAGGGCTCTACACAGGGAAAATTGTGACTGTCCCTCCAATCCTTGCCCTAAAGCCACACAACTCAGTCTCTCTGTGAATGTCTCTGATGCCCCCCAAGTCACTGAATTCCTGCAAGTGAATGAGTTTGTGTGCAGGCCCTTTAAGAGGATGTCTGGGTTTCCCACAGCCTTCCATCCCACCTGGACAGTCACAACCCCCACTGTTTTTCACAGCCAGATGTTGTGCGGGCTCCTCTTCCTGGCACAGGTGCTCCAGGCTGGGGAGCCTGGTTTGGTGCTCGGACCCTTTGCTCCTCAGAGGGGACATCTGCTGCTGAGATACCCCTCTCAATTCTCAACTGCCACATGTGGGTATGGGGCCAACCTATTTTACATCTCCACCCCTACTACCTGTCTCGATGTGGCTTCTTTACATCCTTAGTTATAAAACTTCTGTTCAGCTAGACTTCAGATGGTTCTCTAGGTTGACTGTTTTATAAGTTAGTTGTAATTTTAGTGTGGTGACAGAATGAGGCAACACAGCCTTTATCTACTCCATCTTGGTTCTTTTTCTGATTTTCTTGAAACACACACCTGCATTGCTTCAAGCCTTTGGTTAGCTTCAAGTATTGTGAAAAAGTTGATTCTGACCAGTTTTACATTGCTTTAATGGAGGGGACCAACTTTAGAGGTATTTACTGCCCACTCTTTTCACTGATATAATCATATGCAATTGCTTTTTAAATTGTTTAAGATAAGAAAAAAATCAAATGTGTAATTATAGTGCCTATTATCATTACCTACATAATTACATTTATTGAAACTTAATTTTTTCATATGGATTCAAATTAATATCTGGGTTCCTTTCAGCCTGAAGAACTCTCTTTAATATTTCTTCTAAGGCATGTCTTCAAGCAATGAATTTTCTTAGCTTTTGTTTATCGCAGAATGTCTTAATTTCTTCTTCATTTTAAAAGGACAATTTTCCATATACGCAATTCTCGTTTGACAGTTTATTTTCTTTCTTTCTGCACTTTCACTATGCCATACCTCTGCCTCCATTGTTTCTGATAAATCAGTTGTTCTGATTTTCCTGTAAGTAATGAGTCATTTTTCTCTTGCCCTTTTCAAGAGTCTTTCTTGTGTTTGTTTTTACAGTTTGATTATAATATGTTTAGGTGTCAATTAAAAAAAAATTATTTTACATGATGTTCCTTGAACACCTTGGATGTCCCAATTAATGTTTTTTCACCAAAATTGGGATTATTTCAGCTATCATTTCTTAAAATATTCTTTCTTTTCTGCTCCTTCTCCCTTTGGGGGACTCCCATTATGTGTATCCTTAGTTGTGTTCCACAGGCCTCGTTATTCTTTTTCATTCATTTTTTTCCTTTCTGTTCCTTAGATTAAACAATCCCAATTGATTTATCTCAGAGTTCATTGACTCTTTCTTCTACCATTCAAATCTTCCATTGAGCATCTCTAATGAATTTTTCATTTGTTATTTAACTTTTCAACTCCAGATTCTTTATTTTCTTTATTAGACTTTCATTCTCTTTATTAATAGTCTCCATTTACTGAAACATTGTTCTAGTACTTCATTGTTTAGAAACTTTTTTTAGTTCTTTAAACATATTAAAATAGCTAATTTAAATTCTTTGTCTAGTAAGTCCAAAGATCTACTTCAGGAACAGTTTCTATTGAACCTTTTTTTTTCTGTGTATAGGTCATATTTGTTTCTTTGCATGCATCATAATTTTTGGTTGAAAAAATGGTCTTTTAACTAATATAATGTGGCAAAACTCTGGAAATCAGGTTCTCTATCTTTTCCAGGGTTTGTTTTTGTTGCTTTTTTATTTGCTTAATGACTTTCCTCAGCTAACTGTAAACGCTTTGACATATGTGGCCACTGAAGTCTCTGCTTGGTTAGCTTAATGGTCAGCTAATAATTGGAAAGAGATTTCCTTAAATGTCTGAAACCAATGATTTCCCAGCTATTGCCAAAAAGCTCAGTGTATATGTTGTAGCAAGACTTTAACACTCAGGCAGTTTTCAACTCTGCTGTAGCTTTTATGTTCAGCTTGTGAAGAGCCCCAAAGTCAGCCAGAATGAGAGACTAAGGCCTTTTCATGTCTTGCTACTCAAATAATAAAGCATAAATAAATAAAATAGATAATAGAAAAACAGAGAAAATAAAAAAAACAAAAGTTTGTTCTTTGAAAAGGTTAAGAAAACAGATAAGCCTTTATCTCAAGTGACCAAGAGGAAAAAAAAGAGAAAAATCAATTTACTAAAATCAGGAATAAAAGAGGAGACATTAATATCAATTTTACAGAAATAAAAAGAATTAGAAGGAAATACTATCAACAACTGTATGCCAAGAATTAGATAACCTAGATGAAATAGACAAAAATTCCCATGAAGACACAAAACACTGAAAATGTCTGAAGAAAATATGAGTAGACCCATAACATGTTAAAGAGATTGACTTAGTAATCTAAAATCCTCTTATGAAAAAAAAAAGGATGAGATGACTTCCTTAATGAATTCTACCAAAGGTTTAAAGAATAAATATCAATCCTTCATAAACTCTTCCAAAAAATTGAAGAAAAGGGAATACTTCCTAACTCATTTTATGAGGCCAGTATTACTCTGATATAAAAATTAGATGAAGACATCACAAGAAAATGAAACTGAAGACAAATGTCCCTTATGAATACAAATGCAAAAATCTTCACAAATATCGGCAAACAAAAGCTAGCAACTTATAAAAAGGATTACACATTCCAGAAATGAGAGGTAGGTTTAACATATGAAAATTAGTCAATGCAGTACACCATATAATAAAGGACAAATACTATCAAATGATCATCTTAATAGACACAGAAAAAGCATTTGGGAAAAAAACCCAACACTCTTTCATGATAGAAACATTCAACCAATTAAGAATAGAAAGAGACTTCCTCAACCTGACAAAGGGTATCTACAAAAGCCCACAGCTAGCATCATACTCAACGGTAAAATATTAAAAGCTTTCCTCCTAATATCAAGAACAAAGCAATGATGTCCATTCTTGTCACTTCTATTCAACATTGTAGTTGAGATTCTAGCCAGGTGAATTTGACACACACAAAAAAAGTTAATCCATATTAGAAAGAAAATGTAAAAGTATCTCTAGAGTCAGATGATATCATCTTGTATATAGAAAATACAACAAAAAGTAAACATTAGAGCTGATAAATTTGTTCAGCAATGTTGGAGGATACAAGATGAATACACAAAAATCAATTGTACACACCAACAATAAACAATTTAAAAATAAAAACTTTAAGTTCCATTTATAGTAGCATCAAAAAGAATAAAAAGTATAGATTTAACAAAAGAAATGCAAAACTTGTACACTGAAATTACAAACATTGTAGAAAGAACTTAAAGAAGATATAAATAATGGAAAACAATATCACATTCATGGATTGGATTGGAAGACTTAATATTAAGATCTCAATACTCCCAAAATTGATTTATAGGTTGAATACAGTCTCTATTAAAATCCCAACTGTTTGTTTTGTTTTGTTTTGCAGGAATTAACAAGTAGATCTCAAAATTCATATTGAAATGCAAGGGACCCAGAAAAGTTAAAACAATATTGAAAGAGAGTAAATTTGGAAGACTTCTATTCCCAAGTTCAAATCTTACTACAAAACTATAATAATCAAGAGTCTGTGGTACTAGCATAAGGTGAGACATCTAGATCAATGGAATAGAATTAAGAGTCTAGAAATAAATCCTTACATTATTTCTGAATTGATTTTCCATGAAGATATTTCAATGTGGGAAAGAACAGTCTTTTTAACAAATGGTTCTGGACAATTGGGTATCTACATGCAAAATAATAAATTTGGATGCTTACTACATGCCATATACAAGAGGCATAGATGAAATTCTTTCTCACTGACCTCAGAAAGAGCTAATCATACTGTCATTTTCCATAATATATTAGGAGACTCTGGGTCCTATATAAATCTTTTATTTTAGCAGGCAGTTACCCTATTTAGGCTTAACATGGAGGTTCTGGCCTACTTTTTTAGGGTATGGTTTCAAAAAAAATTTAATTTTCTTTATGGTATTTATGGTACTATTTTAGTCAGCTTGGTTTATCTGGTGCTGATGGAGCTCCCACTCATTTCTGCTGATGCTGCCAGAGGGTGGAGGTTGTCCTCCAGGCCAGGTCACCTGGTGAACCGATTAGGGGAAAATAGTCACTGTCCTGCAGGGAGGATGAGCACATCTCAAGCTGGGCTACTTGTTTTGGTAGGATACGCCTTGCTGGTGACACCTAGTCACCTGGTATCTCTCAATGGGAGAAAGGAGTCCCAGGCATGGAAGAGAAAGAGTTATTACTCCGGCTTCTTATTGTCAGCCGGGTTCCCAATCAATCCTCTTTGCTGGTACTGCTGGGATCACATGCTGCTGTCAGAAGATAATCTGTTCTATCTGGGGAAGGTTGAGACTTCCTTGGCTGCCTTCTGTTTTTAGGTTGAGGGTTGGGAAATGTCAGGTGTGGGTCACCTCCTTCTCATGGGTTGGGGGAAGCATGATGCCCTGCTGTTGTGCTATTCTTCCAATCTTACGACGCCTAACCAGCTCACCTTCTTCTTACCACTTTGTAAGTTCTCCTTTGTTTGTGCCTTCTGTTGTTTCCAGAGTTTATAGTTGTACTTTCGGGGAAAATCTGGACCAGAAGACCCTGTAAAGCATTTTTCAAAAAAACACTATTAACTGTCATAATGATGAGTAATATTTTGCTTCTGCCCTCAAGGAACTATCATGTAGTCTGAGAGATTTGATACAAGAATATAAACGTAATAAAAGCATTTATTATTTACTATGTTTCAGTTTATAGTTAATAAATATTCATTTTAAGTTAATACATGTTTTACGTTTTTTTAAAACTTCTGAGGGAAGTAATAATATGTTGCCCATTTTAAAGATGTAAAAGAGAACTTAAGCAACTTGCTCAATATTACACAGCTAGTAGGTAGCAAAGTCAGAACTGGGACCTAAGCAGTCTGTTCTAACTTGTTTTTTTAGGGAGACCACTTCATGGACTGTATAGATGTCTGACCAC